TCGAATGGTTTAGTTAAAAAACTGTTGTATTACAATAATATTCCCTCCTAATTGACTTGAATAAATACTTGAATGGAAATATACAATATTTTTGTTGAAACTACCCGCGTTTCAGTGTAAAGTGTTGTAATAATAAATGGTAAACAATTTGCCTTGGGCATCCGGATTTTTGGACTTTTACTGTACTGTACACTGTTTTGTTTACTGTAAGGACCGATGTTCACTTCAATAAATGAAATCGTAAGTTTGCTAGTATTTTTGTCCACTTATTATATTATTATTTATACACTATTATTTAAGGTTATGTGTAAAGGAAACGCATTAATGCTTAAAGGTACATTTATTCAACATATGCTAATAATAGTTAGAAAAATTACGTAACCATCACGGTATCGACGGTTTCTTTATCGACGGCCGTTTACAGAATGTAACCCCCGTCGATAAAGAGGGAGTACTTATATATATATGTATATATCTGTCAAGTGCCTGTAACTCTTAGGAACACGCATGTTGTGTGGTATCTGTTTACGCCTCCACTCCACACAAGTTATTAATAACTTGTTATTTTTACTATTATCTTATTGTTGTTCTTAGTTACTTAGGTTAATTGTATATCTATATACAGTGGGGTATGCTATAACGAATCTAATTGGTTCTAAAACCTTGTTCGTTATAGCATTCGTTCGTTATAGGATTAATCCGTTCCAGGCCACCAAATACAACCACTTAACACTGAAAAATATAATATAAAATTGTAAAAATTGTAAAAAAGTGCATAAATATGCATCTAAACCCCTGAAATAAAGAATATCATTAACATTTGTAATAAAAAAACAATAAATTAAAAAAAAAAAAAAAAAAAAATTAAATAATGTTCGTTGTAGGAGTTTCGTTCGTTATAGCATTCTCAATTTTATAGGTAAAATCGTTCGTTATAGGAATATTCGTAGTAGGGTCTGTTCGTTATAGCATACCCCACTGTATGTCGTTAATATGCATCAATTGTGTTACTCTGTTAAGTCAAACCAAGAGTAGTATTAATTAGTTATAGACTATTTGGCAACTGTCCTGGGTAACGTGAGCTAAGACGCTTCTCACTCATATTCTGTGTGGCCAGAGACTCTCTCTCTAGTAAACCGTGATATAGGCAGGACGTGTCCACACTGACTCTAGCCTCTACACTTGCCCCGTACAGACGTGCCTTGTTCAGTCATCTACAATGCCCTAGCGGTATCTGGTAATTTGTGGCACGTTAAGTTAGGCCTAGGAAGGGATCCTGGTGTTAAGGAATCTCCTATTTGGTAGGAAATAACCAGTTGGTTGTGATTGCTGTGTATATATTGTAATGTCTGTGTTTAATATATTAATGTTAAGTAGTATTCGTTTGATCTAACTCCTTAACGGTATATTTTCACCCTTCCGGCATCACCCTTATTTTAATATACAATCACTTATTCCCTTAAATTCCATGGTTGCTAGACAGTACTCCTTTAAGAACATAAATTGAATTATTTAATTATCTTCCCATTTGTGACTCACTTACTCCAACTTATTCTTATTTATTCAAGTACATTCAGTCGAGTCGGTTTTTGTGGGGATAATTATTGTCGTGTTCCCTGTTTGTTCCTTTATTTGATGATAACTTGGGACAGGTTTCACTTCCCAGGTATAAAGGATATTGGGATCACGACAATATCCTTCATCAAGGGATGAAGGATAGCTGAGGTGGGTCAACTCATGATGTTGAGGGACCTGCTGGGTAATCAGGACATCCACATCAGTGTTCCAATTGAGCAGCGAATGGTAGTGCTCTTTCCAGCACTGAAGAATGCCTTCTTCGTCTTTAATTAGGAAGTTACCGTCGAATGAACAGATGGGGCTGCTCCATGAGTGATTGGCCCATAAAATGTTTTGGTGGAATGGAAAAATTCGCACATCTTGTATTGATCTACAAGTTTTTGCATTTCACATGTTTTATTTTTAAACCAGTCGTTCTTTAGATTGCGAAGATCGCGCTGGGCCATTGCTTTCTTCTTGCGGAAGGTATCAGCTTTGGTTCGAGACTGAGGGTTGTTCTGCCAGTCAGTTAAAGCTGCACGTTTATCATTGACGAGTACATTGATTTCTGGGTCATTTTCATCAAACAGTCCAAATGTATTCTTTCGAACTGGTCAAAGGTCGCTCTACAGATTTTTATCATGACAGTGTCAAGAATACCACATTCGGCACTGAAATTTGGGTTGTTTGTTGTCGGGATGTTTATCAATCACAGTAAGAGCTGCTCACTGAAGGCAAATGCTACTGCTGGATCCTCCAAACACTTAATGCTAAAACCTCTTCTGTAGGCTTGTTGCCTTCCTCGTTTTGGGGTGACGTGAAGTGAGAGTTTGGTCTGACGCGCTGATGATCAGTGTCGCAGTGGTCTGAGCCATGCATTGCTCGGGTGATGAGGACATCTCAGCGATCTCTTTCTCCGACAATAATGTAGTCAGTGAGATGCTAGTGTTTGGATCATCGGTGCTGCCACGAACCTTTGAATTTGTCATCCTGCCTAAACATGGTATTGTGATAGTGAGGTTGTGTGCAGTACACTTGCTGAGGGGGAGTGGGCCATTGGGGTTACACTTGCCTAGTCCATTTTTCCCTAAGATTCTCTACCAAATGTCAGCAACTCTGGCATTGACATCATCTAGGAGCACAACCTTATGTTCTCTGGGGATAGAGATTAGCACTCTATCCCATGAAAGGCTTTCTTGATGTCAGCCTCTGCATCCAGTGTTGGGGCATATACTCTGATGAAGAAGGCATGATGTGAGTGATTCAGTGGTACTCAGAGCATCATGCAGCACTTCAGTTAGCCTATGTAGGATGTATTGGCGGATGGCAAAGCCAACTCCATAAATGCAGTTTCTCTCAGCAGCAGGCTTACCCTTCCAGAAGAAGGTATAGCCAGACCCCTCATTTTGTGAGTTGACCCTCGTCTGGAAGCCGGGACTCACTAATGGCTACTATGTCGATGTTATATCTAGCCAGCTCTTTTGCTATGAGGGCAGTTCTTCTTTCAGGATGTTCATTTGTGCCAGTATCCAGAAGGGTCCTGACATTCCATGCAGTGACCATCAGAGTTGTATAGTTTGTTTTTGTTTTTATCTGAAAATTATGATTGTGTTTTCGACCGCATAAGGATGACCTTACTGGGTGCGGTTGCCCAGTCAGGTTGGTTCTTTAGGCAGGCTATGTTTAGAGCACCGTTTCTAGCCCCCTCCCCATGTGGGACGAGTAGTGTGGGTCCTCGAGAGGGCTGCTCAATCGCATAGACAGGACCGGATTGCACTGCTGCCTAGATACCAGTGCATAAACGACAATCTTATCTATACCACCCATGTGCAGAGTTGTGACTCGGACCTAACGGCAGTCATCTTTGCCTGTCCCCATCGCCACTCCTCCATCGCCATAGGAGTTTTGATGATGATGAAAAGTATGATGAGCTGGATGATGGCTGTGCATGAGTTGATTCATGTGGTAAGGCAGGAGTGCAGGCTGCAACCACACATTTTGGCTCTCCCTTTTCCTGATCCAGTGGTGCAAGTGTTGCAAAGACTGGGGAGAGGGGGAGTTGCAATGTACTGCCGATAGCCCAGTTTCTTGGATTCTGCCAGGTAGCCTGTCCATCATGCATTGCCTTCATCCACTGGTGTAGTTGTTGGGTTCCCATGTTGGTCACCTCTTCAGCATTTACTGCCATTGGGGTCTTGGTGGAGCTCTGTAAGCATCTCTGCCAGATGTGGGGCTCCACCACAGATTTTTTTTCATTTGGGGTTTACTCCCATAGCCTTATACCTATCAAGATTAATCCGCAAGGCAGTGGTTGGTAGGAGCCAGGACGTGTCCACATGCCAGTGGGCCTACACTATCTCTCTGGGGCCCACTGCTGCTCCAAGATCCCCTGCTGGTCTAGCCTGGGCCTAAAAGGCACCCAGTTATTGTGTGTTGCCATGAGGAGGGACAGGAGTCTTGATGGAGAAGAAGCTGTGTACTGGCAGGCGAAGACTTGTGCAAATTGCTTCTTTGTTCACCATGACGGCTAGCCAGCGGCGTTAGCTGAAAGCGAGAGGGAGGAAACAGTGCTCGCACCTTAACATAATGTTGCTACACTAGAAGCATTGCACCACTCTGTGTGCACACATAAACTACATCCTTGACCACGGGAGGATCAAGACCTATCAGGCGCTCGTTCCTGCTGTGGCAGTTGCCCCCGGCCAATGCTGGCCCATTCCTCTAAGTCTCTCTCCTCGACCCATCCTCACTTCTGGGATATCAACATCCCATCAAAAGTAACAATTTTGTTTCTGAAACAAATGGGATCAATGTTGAAAACTGATGAACAGTCTTTAAGCCAGTGAATTCAGCACTAGACAGTACCAGCGAGAGACGTGACCCACCAGTGAGATAAGCACCACTGGGAACCGACCACCATCTTCTGACCAGGCGGCATTAATCAGTCCACCCTGGGAACAGCCTTGGGTCGGCTTTACACCTGACTATGAGATAACACAACACCAACTAGCAGAGAGAGTGAGGTACTGTGACACCAACCCACACCACACGGTGTCTCCATGACCACGTGATATCCTTCATATCAACACCTGAGGACGAGTTACTGCACCACGTGAACACCACACCACCCGGTGTCTCCATGACCACGTGAGGTCCTTCATGTCAACACCCAAGGACGAGTCACTAAACCACGTGAACACCACACCACCTGGTGTCTCCAAGAGAGGAAAGAGAGCAAGATAGAAGAGAATAAGAGAGTAGAAAAAGAGAACAAGAGATAAGAAGGGAGAAAGAGAGAGAAGAGAGATAGGTAGAAGTAAAATTGTCTTGTGTTATTTTGAAAGATAGTGCTCATTTTCCATTAATGGCTTCAGTTATTAGACACTGAACAAATAATTTTATAGCTTAAAATCTACAACTAACAATTGAACAGTTAATCTCACCTCTATGGCACGGTCAGGTTCTTGGATTGACATGTATGCATCACCCAACATCAAGAAGCTCTGGGGCGTGGGACTCTTATCCACTACTTCCCTGCAAGATAATTTTTTACATACAAACAGTTATATATCATGCTAGCTATATACAGTATACTGTGTGTACATACATAAATACATGAAAAGATGCATAACACACACAGGCACAAACGTGTGCACACACACACTACTACTACTTTACTGTTTCTAGGAATCGAGAATGACGATCATCCAGCTATGATACAATGATATGAGTTATTAGGGATGTCACCTAGGTTAGTGAGTTTTGAAGTGACTAAAGAAGCCGATATAGGACCGGCAGAGTTATTCACAGATGTTGCACATGTGGAGGGTTACATCTAGTGAGAGAGGGGCGGTGGCAGCATCTTTCCGGCGTTGGCGCTTGTCTGCCTCAGTTTGCAGTCGGGCTAACTCAAAAGTATTGACACCTTCTCGTGTGGTGCTCCTCCAAGCGTTACGGTGTGGATTAATCGTCTTCCAGGTGAGGGGGTTGATTTGGTACTTTTTCAGGTTTGTCTTAAGACTATCCTTATACCTTTTTAGTTACCCGCCGGCGTTATGCTTACTATTCTTTAGGTGACTGTAAAGTAGCTGCTTTGGGAGTCTACTGTCGTCCATGCCGGTAACATGGCCAGTCCAACGTAGTTGTTCATGGACAATGATAGTCTCGATGCTCCTACAGTTGGTGTCAGCAAGAATACTGGCATTAGTTCTCTTGTCTTCCCAGCGAACTCGGAGGATGGAATGTAGACTACGTTGGATGGTGCAGGTGTGTCTGAACCAGGGGCAAGTTGAAAGAGAATCTGAGTCTTACTTACAATAATCTCAAGGCCGAAGTGTGTATACGCATCTGCGTAAATGTTCATTATCTCCTGTAGGTTGCGTTCAGTGTGAGCGACAAGGGTGAGGTCGTCTGCATACTGAAGCTCAGTAATGGAAGCTGCCGACACCTTTGTTCTTGCTTGGAGTCGTCTTATGTTGAAAAGACCCTTCATCTGGCTAAATTGGTACTGGCACGAGTAAGAAAGGCAGCCAAGAAAATGAAAAACAGAGTTGGTACTAGTACACACCCTTGTATAACCCCCGTTTTGGATGGGGAAGAACTCTGACTGGGTGCCATTGTTCAGGACACCACAGTTCATGCCATCATGGAGTTGCCTCATAATGGCAATGAATTTTGGGGGGCAGCCAAAACGTATGAGGGTCCACCAGAGGGCTTCCCTGTTGACCGAGTTGAAGACCTTGGTTGGGTTGATGAAAGCCATTTACAGGTCACAACACTGTTCTCTGCACTTTTCCTGTATATGACGGGCAGCAAAGATCATGTCAGTGGTGCCACGTGATGGTCTAAAGCCACACTGAGATTCTGGGAGGAAGTTTTCCGTCTCAGGAAGAAGCCTGTTTAGGAGGACTCGGGTAATAATTTTGGCAGCTATGGACAGCAGCGAGATCCCATGGTAGTTGCCACAGTCTGACCAGTCTCCCTTGTTTTTATAAATATTAACGATGGGGGCGGCTTTAAGAGCTAGGGGGATTTCCTCTTTTCCCATATATTCTCCAGGAGAGAGTTTTGACGGCTGGTAAGCAGAAGCCCTCCTAATTCATACACCTCGGCTGGGATTCCATCAGGCCCTGAGGTTTTGTTATTTTTCATAGCTGAGGTGGGTCGGCTCTGGATGCTGAGGTACCTCCTGGGTATTCAAGACATCCACATGAGTGTTTCGGCTGAGTAGTGAATGGTAGTGCTCTTTCCAGCGCTGAAGGAGGCTTTCATCGCCTTTAATTATGGAGTTACCATTGGATGAGCGGAGGGGGGCTGCGCTACGAGTGATTGGCCCATAATATGTTTACTGGAATTGATAAATTTGCGCATCTTGTGCTGATCTGCAAGTTTTTGTGTTTTGCATGCTTTCCTTTCAAACTAGACATTCTTTAGATTGCGAAGTTCCCACTAGGCCACAGCTTTCTTCTTGCGGAAGGTATCAGTTTTGATCCGAGACTGAGGGTTGTTCTGCCAGTCAGTTAGAGCAGCACCTTTATCATTGATGAGTACATTGATTCCCGGGTCATTTTCATCAAACCAGTCCTGGTGTATTCTTTTGATCTGGGTGAGGGTCTCTCTGCAGGTTTTTGTCATAACAGTTGAGATTATCCCATTCGGTACTGGGATTTGGGTTGTTCCTTGTCGGATGTTTTATTGGCCTATGTTCGAGCTGCTCTCTGAAAGAATATGCTACCGCTGGATCCTCCAGACGCTTAGCATTAAAACCTCTTCTAGAGACTTGCTGCCTTCACCGTTTTGGGGCGACGTGAAGTAAGAGCTTGTCTCTGACGAGCCGATGATTAGTGTCGCAGTGGTCTCAGCCACGCATGGCACAGGTGATGAGGACATCTCGGCGATCTCTTTCTCTGACAATGATGTAGTTAATGAGATGCCAGTGTTTGGATCGTGGGTGTTGCCATGAACCCTTGAACTTGTCGGCCAGCCTAAACAAGGTATTGGTGATAGTGACGTTGTGTGCAGCACACTTGCTGAGGTGGAGTAAGCCGTTGGAATTACACTTGTCTAGTCCATTTCTCCCTTTGGTTCTCTGCTAAATGTCAGAATCTGCCACAACTCTGGCATTGAAGTCATCAAGGAGCACACAGCCTTATCTTCTCTGTTGGTGATGTGGACACGAAATGGAAAAATTACACCAACACCACCACGGAAGCTCACCACCACTTCTTCCCCGAGAAGTCAGTCAGATCACACCAAGTTGACTTGCCCTGGATCGCACCTCAGATCAAAAGATCTGTGTAGCAGAGAAACAGCGCCTTTCATCTCAATGACCACAACTGCTACAAGTCCCTTCTCAACCAAGTCATCCATGAAATACGCGCTGGAAAAAAGTCTCACTACCCAATCAAGCTGCAATACCTGAAGCAGACCAACATCAATCACTGGTATGGTAAGCTTAAAGAACTCTGTGGACTAAACAATAAGACACACCCCCTCCTCTTCCTTAGCCACCTCACTAATGGTGACACAGCTGAGCAATCAAACAACCATTTCACAACTATAGGCTTGACACAACCAGTCTCCCTGCTTACCTACCAGCCCCCTATCCCACTGACTCAGTGGAAGAATTTGAAGTAGCAAAAATGTCTGGACAAACTGAAGTTAAAGAGCTCCACCATCCCCATTGACTTACCAATGAAACTCTACAAGGAGTTCTCCCCGGAACTCCATCATCAATGCTTCTCTCAGCCAAGCAAGATGCTCAGCTGACTGGAAGACCTCATATGTGTCACCAGTGTCCAATTCAACTAGCCCACAATCCTTAAATGAGCTATGACCCATTGCCATCACCCCAATACCCAGCTAAATCTTCAGCAAAATGGCAATATGACAACTTCCTACACCACTCACTGTCTGGTCAGCTTTCTCGACTACATATACTGTACCGCCATCCGGAAAAACGAAAAACGTCTGTGGCTGTTGCCTATCTTAGAATTAGAGAAAATAATATCAGGGGAGATGGCATGTTCTATAAAATAAGAAAAATGAAGAGCATAGATGTGTATGTGTGTGAAGTGAACATGTGTGTGTGTGTGAACCTGGCATGTCACCAAGTTAGACTGTCCCTGTAGCTACATCCCCCTACCAGACCAAGCTGTGTTATTTTTATTTTTCAACTCGTATTTTTGGGTAGATTTACATAATTTATTATTTTTTTACTCTGTTACATGCACACACAATCAGTCATACAGAATACATTAAAACAAATTTTATCATAACATCAAAATCATAAAGATAATAAAAATTTCTTACAACCGCAATAGAATGTGTGTGATCAAGAGGGGGGAAGGGGGGAGAGGGTTGTGGGTGCGGCGTCAGGGTGGTGGTGGAAGTGGCGGGAGTGTGGTGGTGGTGGGAGTATGGTGTGAGGTAGTGGTGGGAGTGTGGTGTGAGGTAGTGGTGGGAGTGTGGTGTGAGGTAGTGGTGGGAGTGTGGTGTGAGGTAGTGGTGGGAGTGTGGTGTGAGGTAGTGGTGGTGGTGGGAGTGTGGTGTGAGGTAGTGGTGGTGGCAGTGTGGTGGTGGGTGGTGTGAGGTAGTGGTGGGAATGTGGTGGTGGTGACATGAGTGTGCTGGTGTGAGGTAATGGTGGTGACGGGAGTGTGGTTGTGGTGGTTGGTGGTGTGAGGTAGTAGTGGTGGTGGGAATGGTGGTGGTGGGAGTTAGTGGTGGTGGCAGGAGTATGGTGATGGTGGAGGCGGCGGCAAATTCAATTCTGAATTCTGCCGCGGACAGAAACTAGTTTATTGAGCACCCCATACTCATCCTGTGAGTGGTAGCACAAAAAAGTATTACAGAGAAGAGGCCACAAAGGGTGTTTATTGGACCCCAGTAATTTTGACATTATGGCATTGAATGTTACAGAATACTTCCAGTACATTGTTTGCTTAAACGCTACATAGATTTTTGATTAGGCACCAGATGCGAAGTGTGAAAACAGCCTTAGTATATCAGCAATCTTGTCATCAGAAATAATGTGCTGTGCCATTGCATATACTGTACAGTGTGCTTAGATCTATCCCTATAAGGTTCTATTTTTTCACAGTCTAAGATGTAGTGTTGGAGTGTGTGGCCATAAGTCTGGTCATACACTTTACATTTAGTTTTGTTCACATCTGCCTGAGGGGCATACTGCCAGAGGTACTTATATTCTAACCTTAGTCTAGCAGTTACAACTTTTTGTAATGCAGAGTAACTGCCACCTCTGCCACTGTGATAGATCATATCTGGTCTAACAACACTCCTAATAATCTTGCAAATGGAATTATTTATAACTATATCTCAGATCACTTCCCAGTTTTTGGCATGTATAAAACAGCTACAGGATCTGAAAGGTCTAGTAAAGTCCCAATAAAATACAGAGATTACTGCCCCGACAACATGCTCCTGTTTGAAAACAACTTAATGAATGCTAAGTGGGATCTTGTCTATGCCCCCGACAACCCTAATGTGATCTGCTGCAACTTCTCTTGCATCCTCAATGCTTGCTTCACCACCACCACACTCCCATCACCACCACTACCTTACACCAACCACCACCACATTCCCATCACCACCACTACCTCACACCACCCACCACCATACTCCTGCCACTGCCACCATTACCTCACAACACCCACCATCACACTCTCACCACCACCTCATACCACCCACCACCACCACTACTACCTCACACCACCAACCACCACAACCACACTCCCGTCACCACCATTACCTCACACCAGCACACTCATGTCACCACCACCACCACATTCCCACCACTACCTCACACCACCCACCACCACACTGCCACCACCACTACCTCACACCACACTCCCACCACCACCACTACCTCACACCACACTCCCACCACTACCTCACACCACACTCCCACCACTACCTCACACCATACTCCCACCACCCTGATGCCGCACCCACATCCCTCTCCCCCCTTCCCCTCTCATGATCACACACATACAATTGCGGATGTAAGAAATTTTTATTATCTTTATGATTTTGATATTATGATAATAATTTTTTTTTTAATATATTCTGCATGAATGATTGTGTGTCCATGTAACTGAATAAAAAAAATAATAAATTATGTAAATTTACCCAAAAATACGAGTTGAAAAATAAAAATAACACAGCTTGGTCTGGTAGGGGGATGTAGCTACAGGGACAGTCTAACCTGGTGACATGCCAGGTTCACACACACACATGTTCACTTCACACACATACACCCCTGTACACATCTATGCTCTTCATTTTTTTATTTTATAGCAACATGCCATCTCCCCTGATATTATTTTCTCTAATTCTAAGATACACTATACTCATTGGGCCCATGTGGTGTGCATGGGTAGCGTGAGAATGCTAACCACGGACTTAATCACCAGTACTGTATTAGGTAATACAGTATATTATATAATAATGGTGTTAATGTTTCATGAAGCCTTGAAATGCTTTGGTTTCAATTTTATGACTTTTTTAAAGTATGGCTCTGGCTTCATCACATTCCAATGACTTAGGCTTGGCTTTGTCCGTATGCCTGGTCCCATTATCTGTACCTGTACATTTCAGTGATTCTTTTCCATCAATCTCATAAGAAGTCCCCCCCCCTGATCAGCCACTCTTGGCAATCATAATTTTTTTTTATTTATTAAGTAATCACCTACATTTTATAAAATCCTAAATCAACCATTTTTATTTATCAAACATCCACATTCATTTCAGCATCTACAGCCCTCTCACTATGTCATCACTTTACTTATTCAAAAAGCATTTTGCCTTTATGATAATCCTTATTTCAGGGGGTCCATAGCTCAGCTGATACTCCTCTGGAGCCTCAACGACTTTACATAACTAGAAGATTCCATACCATGGCTAGGCAGGGTTGGTGAAAATGATCCAAGCATGATATATTTCTTCATCTATTACAAATTTAACTGCTTTACACCAACATACTTGTAACAAGAGGCAAACATTCGCTTGTCTTTCAGATGGTTCAGGTATATAGAAGCCATTTTGTCTCGAGCTTGAAGATAATACTGCTCCTCTGGTCCTATTGATCGTAGCATGGATAAAGCATGTTCCACATCTCCACGCATCAAGGCTAAGTCTGAACTTGCAATGTTCAATCTCACCTCCTCCCCTGTACCCTAAAATATAAAAATACACCTTATAAAGTACAGTATAGGAAAAACCCAAACACCCGTCTCAATTTCAAGGGACTGGGAGATATTTTGCCTCCCACTCTAGTAGTTACAGTTCTTGTGTCCCACTGTTAATTTTCTGGTCTATTCAAGCTTGAATCACCATGTTTATACCTTGTACCCATCCTAGAAATCCCTGTATGCCCTCCTGCCATCCAGTATTTTTACATTGTCCAATTTTAATACTAAATGAAAAGATTGATAATCATCAGCATACTCAATGGAAATGACTTTGTAGATAAAAATTCTATATTCTATATTGTATATAGTTGTTGTGGGTGAATAGAGTAAGCACTTTTACATTCTATATTATACATACAATTGATTGCTCTTTCACATGGAAAAAAAAAGCAGTTATTTTCTAAAAACTAGTTTTTGTGATATAGTTTGAATGTGACGTCAGCAAATGCTACCTAGGTATGTTAATTCCTAGCCAATTCGCCAGGCCAACATACAGGCAATTAAAACATCTAATAATTACTTAATAAGTAATATTAGGACACGTCGCTACCTGGCATTTAATTGCTATTTTCAAAGTCCTTCCTTCATCTCGCCACTATGCACAACGCGAACCTCATCTCATGCCTCAGAGAGAGCAAAAATTAAAAGTCAACTCTCGGGGGGTGGAGATGGGTGGGTAATGGACGTCGCATTCGAGCTATATCACAAAAACTGTTTTTTAGAAGAAAAAAAACGGCTTTTTGTTCAAGCTGAATGCGACGTCAGCAAGAATACCCGAGCAGGAGGTGGAGAGGGAGGTGACTTTGCATACAAGGCTCCGCTTACTGAGGTCCCGATATTATAAACCGTTTCGAACATTTCCAAAATTAGGAACATTTACCGGAAGGTAAAATGTTAATTTACTCAAAAAGGATACTCACTTTATTCTAATGAGGAAGAAGGTCCTTGTAGTGGAGATTGACTAGATGGGGGAGGGGAACCCAGTACCACCACATTTGAGGCATCTCTCAGAGATAGATGAAGATAGCTCTTTGAAAGTTTTTGAAGAACTCCAAAAGCCCATTTCCTTGATCTGACTGAGACTCATATGCCGCAGAAAGGCCACAGACCCTGCATGTTTCATATTGTCATGTGCCAAAAATTTCTTGCCAGGGTTTGCTTGATTCACTAATTGAGATAAGGATTTTGTCAATGGACTAGGAGATAATTTCTTACCATCCCTTGATGAGAAAACATATGGGCCTCTATTAGGGAATCTGATTAACCATTCCTGAAGATTTTTAACTGGTCACAATATGTGAGGAACCCTAGTCTCATCCATTAGATGTTTTATCCTCATAGGTTGAGCTTAGAAATCTTCCCTTTCATTTTTTCTTAGTCTCTCCGTAGGAAAAAGGATAACATCCTCGTCAGAAATTACCAATAATGATGGATTATTGGAAATTGAAATCAGTTCACCGATTCTCATACCCGTTGCTATTGCTAGAAGGAAAGCTGCCTTCTGGAGTAATTAATCCCTGTTCAGATTTATATTGTAATTAGGCCCTTTAAGAAGATTAGTAACTTTTTCCAGAGACCAAGGCGGGATTCTCTTGGGTAAAGGAGGTCTCTGAATGAAAAAGGACGATCTTAGCATTTGATAAATCCTTGGGTTCAAGGTAATATTAAAACCCCAAGGCAGAGGGTCAACCAACGCTGATTTATAAGATGCAATTGTCGATCCTTGAAGGCCTTTAACTCTGAACAGAAATTCAAAAAATTCTAAAACAATTGTTTCCGATAATGAATCCAGAGTTGTTAACTTGATAAATTGTTGAAAAAGATACCAAGCTTTCTCATATTGAATAGAAGTTTGGGGTCTATGACCTGCTAATACTTGATTAGCTATATTGGAATTACCCAACAACCTATTTAAGCTTTTTTTGAGAAACTCCAAGCGTGAAGTGCCAAGGATATCTCGAACTGAGAATGTAGTACCTGGTCTAGACATCCTTGTTGCAATTGTAGAGGATTTGGGCACCAGTCCAGTAGATCCAGGCACCAAGGTTGTAGGATCCAATATGGTGCAATTAAGAGGACTTTGCCTCGGAAGGATCTGAGTTTGTGAACCACTTTGGGCAATATTTTCACAGGTGGGAATAGATAGATTGAATTCCAAAGGTTCCAGTCTAAGAGGAGGGCATTTCCTGAAAGATTTGACCTTTCCAGAGATGCATAAATTGGCATCTTGTAATTTGCTAGGGAGGCAAACAGATCTATCTGTGGAGTTCCAAACTTCTTCACTAGACTCTTGAACTCCGATACCTTTGGGGACCATTCTGTTTCTCTTGATACTGGCCGGAGACGGGCCAGCGCATCTGCCCAATTGTTTTGCACTCCCGGTATATAAGTTGCTTTGAGGTAAAGTGTTTGTGTTGCACAAACACTGATAAAATTTTCTGATAATTGTAGAAGGGGCCAAGACCTTGTTGACCCTTGATGATTGAGACAAAAGATTGCCGTTTTGTTGTCCATGGCAAACAGGATCGTCATATTTTGTAAATTTGGGTTTGCCGACAAAAAGAAAGGACCACTGCTAATTCTTTTATATTTATGTGTTTGTCCCAAAGGAAGTTGCTCCACTTTCCTTGATTGAATTCCCCTTTTGAAGAATGGTATCCCCATCCTATTTTGGACGCATCCGTACAAACGACCAAACCTGTTTGAGGTAGAACCCAGGGAGAGGGACCGATTAGATTGTCCCAGTTTGTCCACCACAAAAGATGATTCTTTATCTGAATATGGAGAGAAGAAGCAACTTTTCTGTTTCTGCGAAGTAACTTCGAGCCCAGATGAGATAGTCGCTTTTTCCTTAACTTTCCCAATGGAACCACTATTGTGGCAAAATTCAACAGACCCAGAAGTTTTTCCCAAAAGGCTTCTACTTTGTTTATCAAATCAGTTACTTTGGTTCCTGGTAAACTGACTGACTGCTGATTTGTATCCCAGTGGAGGCCTAACCAATCCAACTTTTGATATGGTATTAAGTTTGATTTTCCCTGGTTTATCTTTAAACCAAGGTTTTGAAATAGTACTAGTGTACGTTGGGTCGCCCTTTGGCAATCTTCGAAAGTTTCCCATTATCAGCCAATCATCTAAATAAGCAAAGGTTCTTATGCCCTCCTTTGCAAGGATCTTTCTGGGAATATTTGCCAGTTTTGTAAAGACTTTTGGTGCAATTGTCAGACCGAATGGCATCACTGTGAATTGATAACTTAATTCCCCAACTTTGAACACCAGAAATTTTCTGTACCTGGGAGCAACATGAACGTGATAATAGAAATCTTCGAGATCCACTTTTGAGATCCAAGCATTGGGCGGAAGTAGATGCCTCAGATGGTCGTAAGTGAGCATCTTGAAACTTTTTTTGGGAATAAATTTGTTTAGGATTGAAAGATCCAAAGTCCACCTTAATTTGTCGCTGCCTTTCTTGGGGACTGGAAATAGGCGAGACATGAAACATTTCTCTGACTGCAACGGTTCTATGACACCTCTGCTTAGTAGTTGACTTACAAATTTTGTAAGTAATGGGGTTGGTTTTTTACCTTTCTTTGGGGATGCTAGGGGAGGGCGCCTCAACCAAGTCCATGTGAGACCCCCTTTGATTGTTTTGTAAGCCCATATGGAAGAAGTCCATTTGTTCTCCCAACCCCCTAGACGACCCAGTTGTCTGGCTTCAATGGAAGGGGGAAGTTGCTGAGGTGGTGGAATAAGGTCTCCTTCCGTTTCTAAACAAACGGCCACCTCTATTACTTCTTTGATTATTTCCTCCTCTAAAATTTCCCTTTGGTTGATAACTGACCCGGGCAGCTGGTCCTGTTCCCCTGTAAAACCTTCTTCTCCTAGGTTTCCGAAAGGTCTGAGGACTCCTAGGGACATTAATATTAATAGTATTCTCCAAAGATGATCTATATTTAATCAATGATTGCTCACCAAACAAAGCAGGAGAAAGAGGAGAAGAACGTATCAACAAATAAGCGCTACCACTTGAAGCATAATTTGTTGCTTGTTTCCTTAGCTGGACTTTCAGTCTTAGGGCTTTCAACAAATGATCTAAAAATGAGTTGTACAGGGAATATGGGATTCCTTGTAGAGCAGCAGCAAAACATTTGTCCACTTCTGAATTTTCTTCATAGTCCAGCACAAACTTAGTTAATAACTGACACATCATAATTGCAGACCAAACATCTGCCGCCAATTTCCTAATTTTAAATTCTTCAAGCAGCAGTGCAGGGGCAAATGGTTTCAAATTTTTTTCATAACTTATATCAACATATTTTGAAGCCGACAAATATTGGTAAAGATCATATAAGGAACTCTTTTTGTCATTAAATTGGAACTTCAAAAAACTAAACTTGTGAGCATTCCTGTCTGCGGGAATGAATGTTAAGTCTTTCAATAAATTAGCCCAGACTTCGTCTATTTCAGAGATCATCTTTGGGCAAATATCAGGCCAAGAAAGTGTAGTATCACCCTCCAAAAACAAAGAATGATGACCCAAAGTTGCATGTCCTTCCTCTCTCTTTGTAGTTGCTGAGATATCAGGAAGCTTAGAGACATTTTCATAAAATATCTTGAATAAGGAATCCACAGATTCAGATGGATTAGTGAACAAAGAAGACTTAGCTCTTACCAATGTTATCCATGGCCTGTTAGAATCAACCTTACACTCAATATTATCCAGGAGCTGCGTGTCAGTTTACAGCAGCCTGTTTCCACTCACAGTAACCAACACTTTTGTCCCAGGTGGAAGTGGTTGCCAAGATGTGGATAGGATGAATTTAGTCTCAACAGGTTCTTCCTGCTCAAGAGACTGGATACTATGATTAGAACCAGGCTCATCGTCCTGATCCTGGAATCCACTGAAATCAGATTGAGTAGATAGAGGTTTTTGTAGACTTCCTACTGCCTCACTGTCTGGAGGGTCCAATAACTTATTTTTCTTA